GGCGCCCTTCAACTCTTCAACGCCATGGTGAAGAAAGAGGCCAATCATAGAAGGCCAAAGAAAGCCCAAAGGGAGTTGAAGTATGTAGACATCCTCCTCGACGGGAAGCCCACTCAAGCCCTTGTTGATACAGGGGCCTCCCACAACTTCATTTCGGTTGCTAAGGCCAAGCGACTCAATCTGAACATTGTGAAGAGACCGGGTGGATCAAGGCCGTGAACGGGGGGCCAAGGCAATTGAAGGCATGGCTCGTAGGGTTGATCTCCAAGTTGGGCCATGGACAAGCAAGACTAATCTATCAGTGGTACCCCTGGATGACTTCCAAGTTGTCTTGGGAATGGACTTCTTGACATAGGCGGAAGCAGCACTCATGCCTCATATCAACTTTCTGTGCATATTGGACAAGCGCTCCCCTTGCATGATATACCAGTTATGACTTCCACTAGGGTTCATGGGAAGCAAGTTTCTGCACTACAACTTCTTCATGAAGAAGCCTTGTTCGACACCAACATGGAGGAAGCAGAGAAGTTCCCCACTCCACTAGCTGAAGAAGCCACCCCTAAAGCCAACCTCAACAGCAGTAGGAAGCAGCAGGCCATCAAGCTATCCTCACCACTCTAGTAACAGAGTTCGTGTGTGTCGACAATCGTCAAGCAAAGCAGAAGACCCAAGGCCGTGTCCAAGTTCGCCCACACCTACTACCACAACCACTGGGGAGAGCGAGTGCCACTCAAGCCATTTAGGGACCACTTTCGCACCATCCCTCAGATTGAATCACGTAGTAGCCCTGTGAGTCACCCTTGGGGAAAAATTCATGGGAACCAACATCCCAACAATCCAAAACATCATTTTAACCCTTACCTGGCCCAAACCTTCCCTATAGCCAAGCTGAACCAGCCACTATCATACCTTGAGACCGCCAAGAAAGGACTTAGCCATAGGAAACCCCAACAGAACAAGATAACCCAACCATGCAATTCAAATCTACACCTCGGCCTTGGACGACAGCCGGTTCGTGGAACAGCAGGAGAACCTTCCTTCCGCATCAACGACTCTAAGGGACCAGCCGAAGCCGATCTCCGAGGACGTAGGTCGAAATGAGTGGAGGAGACTGTCACAAGTGACTCCTTCACCGCGCCATCAAGCACCTTCAGTCGTGCCAACAGAGTGCCTACCGCGTGCTTTCATGGTGTCATCATGTGTGTCATGGGTGGGCTATGTATGTATCTTGTAAGGGGGGACTACCAATGGCATTACTGTAATTACTTAGTATGAATTTCCACTCTTTTGATGTTTCCTTTTGTCACTCCTCCAAAAGCTTAACGTACTCTTTGAGGGGAGGTAGGTAGTCGAGTGAGTCATAAGTGTGTAAAGGTTAAGCACGAGATCCCCTCGACACTGAATTGTGTGCTTGTTCTTACCACTGATTAATGCAATACAAGTTGCCTTTTGTTTAATTTGTGTGCCTTCTTGTTGCCTTTTGTGTGTTGTTGCTTGCATTTGTAGGCTTTCTCGACCCCATCGAGTGCCGCACGGGGCCTCGTCGATTAGCCCCGTGACAATATGGCACAGTGGAGGCCGAGGGCCTCACTTCACTGGCTAGTTCTTGCCAACTAATCTTCCTTCTCCGTTTTACTCCCTTTCCAATTCCAGTGCTTTTCGCTTTTGATCGCTAGCTACTTCTTGCCGACTGTCACTCACATCTTCCTTCGTTGTCACATTACTTTCAACTTACCGTTGGCTGTTTTCTGGCTTCGATTGAATAGACACGCAGTATGAGAAAAACTATATTTATCTTTCTTTAAACTATGCTTTGTTTTAGAGATTTTATTTTTGGAATTTATAGTCTTCCGACGTAGCTCGGCTTTAGTTATTATAGTCATACTAATCTCTAATCCACAGATGTACTTGTTGGGAAAAAGGGGTTACTGGAAACTTTGGAGGAGAAGCTTTGAGGCGCGTCTGAAGACACTGTCTTTAGAACGTTATTTGCCCCCACTTCACTGAGTTTGTTGTTGGGTTACAGGCAAATTCGTTCCCGGGATACAATAGAGCCTTGGGCGAGAATCTGCAACCAGCAAAGTTGAAGAGTCTTCGAAGAAACCTTCGGTGAAACTGCAGCAGACCAGACTGAAAGAGAGAGAGAGAGAGAGAGAGAGAGAGAGTGAATTTTGAAATTGTGTGTTTTAGAAGTCTGATTCATACTCATTAAATAGTTTATGAAAAGGTATGAAGAAAAGGTAGGTGTTGGTTCAGAGAAGGCACCTTGAACAGTCACAATTTCAAACATTGTGACTGTTTAAAAGGTAGTTAACAGTTAATGACTGTTAACTTTGAATTGTGCCTCTTGATCACACCTGATCGAATCGTGACCATTGATCTCATCAACAGTGATCAACGGTCAACATCGCACCAAAACCAAAGCCACCCTTTGCGAGTCACGCGGGTGCGCGCCTCATTGCGCCGCGCGTTGCGTCAGCCACTTCAGCCACTATCAGCCCATTGGATTTAATCTCTTATTCATGAAGTTCAGCCACTTCAGCCACTATCAAATGGTCGCATCAACCTCCCTCCCCTGTATCTTTTCTTCCCCTTTCCTTACCCTTTTTCATT